AAACACATAAATTCTCCACTTCACAGATGAGGAAATTAAGGCACAGATGGAGGAAAGTGAGTGTAACCAGGCTGGCTATGGGTCTAGCCCAGTTCTTGAAAGCTAATACTTAGAGACAAGCATTGATGGAAAGGAGAGGTGATTTTTATTCAGGAAACCTGTGACTAAATGAGGGCAGATGAGAAGATGGAAGTAATGTGTAAATAAAAACCACCTCCAAAGTTTCAGACTGGAGCAAGGAGTTTGAAATAAAATATAAGAGAAGTGGGAAGGGGAGTCTACATGCTATTCTGCACAGTAATCCACCATTTGCTTGGCCATAGGAGACTCGTTGGCATTGAAGTTGTTATTCCCAGTTGCAACCAACTCAACCATCTTTGTTTTCTCAACACATGTGCTCTCTAGCTATGGTTTCAAGATCCAGTTCCTGAGAAAACACAAAAAAGCTATGATTAATTTTGTTTTTGTTGTTGTAGTTGTTTTGGATTTTTGTTTGTTTGTTTTGTTTTTACAAATTAAACAGTAAGGCCAAGGTTGGTTAAACAAAGGACTTGTCTATTATGTTGCATTTAGTGTGGAGTTACTTTGGGTCCTTTCTGTGCCTTGGCTACATGAGAATGGCACAACCTCGGTGCCATGCTAAGGACTTTGCATCTTGAAAGTTTTATGCAGGGAGGTGACATGCTTGTTGTTTGTGTTTTGGAAACAGAATTTGGGGACAGTACATACACACTACTGAAGGTGAAAAACACCAAGTAGGCTGAAACTCGGGAGACCATGGCCCACTCTTTTCTCCTCATGGACACTCCAGCCCTGCAGAGACATCCATCATTGTACAAACATGCTCAGGCTTAATGATCTTGTGCCTTTCTGCTCATTTTTTTGTTTTATCTTGTGGCAGTTCCAGTCACCTTTTTGCCCCTCAGCAAATTCCTACTCAACCTTCCAGAGCTAGTGTATGGCACAGATTTTGTCTGAAGTATCAGCCCCATGTGACTTGCATGTGTGAAAAAGCAGGAACTGAGAGCAAAAGTAGATGCTGGGAGCCAGACAGATCTGCTCAGCCTCTGCCATGGGAGTAATTCTACCGAATTGCCAAGAGAGTGTATAAATATGAGATGATACATAACACTTCATAAGCTTCTATGAATTGTGTCATTAATTAGTTTGTCCTCCTAAATACCCCCACCCCATCCTAAAACGATTAAACTGTACCATTCTCTACTTTCCCTCAGGAGTTAAATCCCCACCCTACACAAGCAATATCACCTTAGGTGAAGTTGCATTGGCCCATGCACAGGGGTCTGTACCTTTCTTCTGCCTCAGCTAGATTCTGCTCTTTTCCCCATTGTGGTAGGCTGAATAACGCCCCCTCCTACCCCTGAGGTTTCCATGCCTTAAGCCCAGAACCTATGACTATGTTGTGTAATAGCATAATATGGAAATAAAATGTTTCACAAATGTATTGGGTTGTCTGAAAAATCATGACTCCATTTTTGCATAGAAAAACATAAAAGAATATATTGTTTTTGTGCAGATAGCAGGCCTGCAAGCATGGTGAGCGTTCCTAAAACCCGCCGGACCTTCTGTAAGAAGTGTGGCAAGCACCAACCTCATAAAGTGACACAGTACAAAAAGGGCAAGGATTCTCTGTATGCTCAGGGACAGCGGCATTATGACAGGAAGCAGAGTGGCTAGGGTGGACAGACTAAGCCTATTTTCCAGAAAAAGGCAAAAACTACAAAGAAGATTGTGCTGAGGCTTGAATGTGTTGAGTCCAACTGCAGATCTAAGAGAGTGCTGGCTATTAGAGATGTGAGCATTTTGAACTGAGAGGAGATAAGAAGAGAAAGGGTCAAGTGATCCAGGTCTAAACCTCATCTTTTCTATTATGAAGACGGCAAAATCCTGAGGTGAATGCTCACCTCATTTGATTATGGTTGGTCTGTTTGTAAGAGAATAAAGTAATCAATAAAATTCCCCTTTCGGGGAAATTTGATTCATGGTAAAAAAGAAAAGAAAAGAAAAACATAGAAGAATATATTATGATTTTTCCGACAACCTACTCTTACGGACCATGAGCTAGAAAGTCAGTAACAATGTGCACCTAACATATTGAGGAGGGCCTTTATAAAAGATAGACAGGGTCTAAGAAACAGCAGGGTGAGAGGAAAGACAGGAGATGGGACAAGGGATGCAAAAGTTGGAGCAAAGCAATTTAAAGACTGAGGAAAGGCCACAGCCAAGAAACGCAGGTGGCTCTAGAAGCCGAGTAAGCAAGAACAAGGATTCCCCTTCAGAAAGAACACAGCTCTCAAGACACCATAGTGCAATGTTGAAGACTCGTTTTAGACTTGGGCCTCCAGAATAGTAAGACAATAGATTTGTGTTGTATAGAGCACCAAGTTTATGGTAATTTGTTACAGAAGCAATACATAACTAATACACCCATATCGTGATACCTTTCATTCTTCCCAAGCTACAGAGGTGTCTTCCTACAGTATGAATGGAAATACCAGCTGCACCTCTCCTGGTTTCCATGGGAGTTTAACACATAATCATAGGCCAGCTGGTGGCATGGAGGATAAAGCATCTGTATCCCACATAGCCCATAGTGTGGTTTGAGTCCCAGATCCAGCAACTTAAAGCCACTCTGGACACTTCTGTGTGCAAGCCCAAAATCCAGAAAGGAGAAGTATAGAGGGATTGCTGCATGACCATGCCCTCTGGGAGTGCTTTCTCACTTTCTCTCTCTGTTTCCTTCCAGCAAGTGCACATGCTTACTAGCAACACAGAAAAAAAGAAAACACAATCTTAATGTCTAGTATTAAGGAATTCATGGAAGAGTGGTCAGTTGCAAGTTTCCCTGAACTGGAGCACACGGAGGGAAAAAACACAGTTGAGATTGCTGTTCTTGAGGCATCACTAATGGTGTATACACAGAATGTAATGAGGACCAAATCTGTAGGTATGCCGGATGAGGGGCCTATCCCAGGCAGCAATGTGGTTCCGATAACTCTTTTTCACACTTCATTTTTATGAAATGTCAACATTTTCAAAGGAACAACAAAGAATAAAGTATTTTGATGGAACTCTTTAGAAGCATTACTATGTCACCATTAAAGACTGCTTCTAGTTTCATACTTACTCCATTTTTTTTTGAGAGGTTTTTGCTATAGAGCATGTGTGCTCAGCAGGCAGACAGAGAGAGACAGAGAGACAAAATGCGAGAAATCACTCCCCAGGGAGGATGGCCATGCCGCAATCCCTTCTCCTCCGTTCTCCTTTTGGGATCTTGGGCATGCACGCACACGTGCCCAGCGTGAGGTTTAAGCCACTGGATCCGGGACACGAACTGTGGTCGACTACATGGGAGTCCAGCGACATAGCCATTACGCTAACTGCTGGTCCCTTTAAAACAGGGATTTTGAAACTTGGCCCTGCTGATGATGAGGTCCAGGTCACTCTTTGTGAGATCGTCGTTCTGTGCATTGCAGGATGCCGAGAAGCATCCTTGGGTCCCACACATCAGATGGCTGTAGCACCCCAAGGCTCAAACATGACCCACCTCCAAAAAAATCTCCAGGTGTAGTAAAATATACCACCAATGGGGGCCAAATAATGCAAGTTTGAATAGTAGTGTTTTAGAATTGCATGATCTGGGACCAGCAGGTGGCACAGTGGTTGGGGAGCTGGTTTCCCAGATAGCCAATTGTGGTTTGAGTCCTGGACTGGCAGCTTGCTTCCTCACTTTCCCTCTGTTTCTCTCTGTCACTGGTCAAATTATACAATACAATCATAGTAATTCAAATTAAATAAAAAATTCTTTAAAAAAAAGTGCATAGTTTTTGAAAAGTCTTTCCTTCCAGCAAGTGCACATGCTTACTAGCAACACAGAAAAAAAGAAAACACAATCTTAATGTCTAGTATTAAGGAATTCATGGAAGAGTGGTCAGTTGCAAGTTTCCCTGAACTGGAGCACACGGAGGGAAAAAACACAGTTGAGATTGCTGTTCTTGAGGCATCACTAATGGTGTATACACAGAATGTAATGAGGACCAAATCTGTAGGTATGCCGGATGAGGGGCCTATCCCAGGCAGCAATGTGGTTCCGATAACTCTTTTTCACACTTCATTTTTATGAAATGTCAACATTTTCAAAGGAACAACAAAGAATAAAGTATTTTGATGGAACTCTTTAGAAGCATTACTATGTCACCATTAAAGACTGCTTCTAGTTTCATACTTACTCCATTTTTTTTTGGGGGGGGGGCGGGGTTTTTGTTTATTGGGCATGTGTACTCACCAGAAAGACAGAGAGAGACAGAGAGACAGAAAGCGAGAAATCATCCCCTAGGGGGATGGCCGTGCCACAATCCCTTCTCCTCCATTCTCCTCTTGGGATCTTGGGCACACACGCACACGTGCCCGGTGTGAGTTTAAGTCACTGGGTCTGGGACTCCAACCGTGGTCGACTACATGGGAGTCCAGTGACATAGACATTACGTCAACTGCTGGTCTCCATACTTACTAATTTTCTGGCAAAGCTGGAGTAGAGTTTAAATACAAAAGGGAAAAAAGCAGAGTCCAATTTATTTACTTAAACTTTGAAAACCAGGTTAGGAATGTTTAAGCCTTTTAATATCTATTGATAAAGCCAACTATAACGTGTAAAAGAAATATGTTGCTATGAAGTAATGCAATCATGTAAATATGATAATATGTATCAGCCAACATATTACACCAAGCAAAATCAGCCTTCATTTTCTTTAGAGAATTATTTTATTTAACTTTATTTATTTATTTATTTAAATGTGACTAGAGAAGGACAGAGCAAGAGCGATAGTGAGGGAAAGTGAAAAAGCAAGCCTCCAGGTCCAGAACTCAAACCATGGTCAGCCATGTGCCTTTAACCACCGTGCCACCTGCCGGCCCCAAGTCAGTCTTTATTAAATTAAACCTTGTTCTATTATGTAACAGATATTTTGACTGTATCACAATTTGGTTTATTGTATTTGTTTATTTAAGATTTGAAGCGTAATAGAAACATCAAATTTTTTTTTTCACAATTAGATTGAAAGGGAAAAAAACTCAAGTTATAGAGCAAATGCAGAGATTTCACCAGCTAACCACTAACTCTCCCAAAGTTTCTCTATTATTTTCTTATACCGGGGGGCCTTCAAGTCCAGGCATACTTTCCTTCCAGACTTCATTGTGGCTCTATCACAGAAAAGAGAACAGGCACACTCTTCAGTCCCTGGATGTCAAGGTGGGATCACAGGGGCAGGGGTGGGGGAAAGGAAGGGCAGAAAAGGGTCCCAGTCAAAGCAGGGTGAGGACTCACATCATCTGGATGGTGGGGCAGTGAAACCCAGCCTTGATCACCTCCAGCCTGGTGATGTGCTTTAGGCGGACTCGGGAGGTGGTCTTCAGACACAGGCAGTGCAGTTCTTCATGGTCTTCTTCTTTGAGGTCAGCTGAGGATAGAGGGAGAAGTGGGATATGGGAGTGGTGACTCCATAAGTGACCAGAGGTACCTCAGGGCTCTCTGCCCCTCCTCTGGCCCTCAGTTCGCTGGCCACAGCATAGCTCCCTCAGAAGTAAGCTGGAGTGGCCAGGGCTGACCGCTGGTTCAGGGCTGACCGCTGGTTCAGGGCTGGGCTACGTGCCCACAGCTGAGCAGGCCCAGGGAGTGGAGCTGGCTTCTTTAGCAGTAAGAACTCCTCCCCAGCTTGAGGTTCCCGGGCTATTTCCCCACTGCTCCCTGTCCCTACTGCCTTGCTTTTGCTCTCACCGCTGGCAATGGTAGCCACAGCCGGTAGGAGCAGCAGCCCCAGGAGCAGAAGCACTGGGCTGAGTCTGGGGCGGAGGGTGCAGGAGTGTGCTGGGCGGCTCATGTCGGCGGGTCCAGCAGAATCGCAGTGCACAGGGTGTCAGGGCTGGGGCTCTGCAGGTCTCAGACTTCAGGGTCTCTCCAGGCACATTTTATCTCCACTGTCAGGAGGAAGCTGGCTGGAGGATACGGAAGTTGAGACACTTCTGGGAAGAGTTGGGCTCTGGTCAGCCAAGCTAACAAAAAAAAAAAAAAAAAAACTGGGGTCATTTGCCTTGGAGAGCTGTTGCTGGCAGGATCTATACCTCCCAAGCGTATATGCATGTACATTTGTGGAATTCGAAAGAGCGCTTTAATTTTAGAATCTTAGAAGATGCATGTTTTCTTTGTTATGTATAAAAGCAGAGTCCTCTGTGGTCCCCATGTGACTTACACAGCATATTCCTTAAAGGCACAGTTTCATTTTTTCTTTTGTTTCCCCCCTCCAACACCCAAGGGCACTACCAAGAACTGCCCACATATATGCTCTGGTCATTCTTGCTGACTAGTGCTGAGCTGAGTTAGGGAGCAGAGACGCTCTCAGGAGGACATGGAGCACCTGCCAGATGCACATGATCACCATGTGGGAGTGGGGAGAAGGGGTGCTGCCGCAGAATCCGGTACAAGAAAGCTAGAGAATAGGTATGGCCTGTCTTCCCTTTCCTGAATAATCACTTTGCTCTTCTTGATCAAGGCAAGGCACTTAATTCTTCCAAAGCCAGAGGTTCTGTCACACTGATGGCAGAGCTGAAGGGCATCAGGAGCCCACTACGTGGACTACGTCCGGTGCATTGGCAACATCCCTGTGCCCAGCAGGACCAGACTTCGGGAGAATACACATGAATTCTCAGGTCTGGAATTTTGTTCCTCTTACTCTCTCATCACCCACTTTTTCAGCTGACTAAGCCCTATTCATATTTCTGGCGTCAGATTAAATATCGCTTCCTCAGAAGGACCTTCGCTGACAACTATATTTAATTATTGTCTGTGGTTGTTCTCTCCTTGTCACACCTTCTGCTTTTCCTGTTTCTGAAAGATAATGTACACAGAGAGAGAGACGCACACACACATATTATGCGCACAGACATATACTGTGGTTCAGTCTTGCAAAGTCTCTACATAGAGAGCTCTATTAAGTTAGAACACTAGTAGGGACTCAATACAAAGTACTTAAATGAGTGAAGATAATGTGTCAAAATGACGAGGAGGGGCTCTGACTTGCTCATGTCTGTATTCCTCCATGCAGTCAGAACAAACCTCCACATTAGCACGTGTCCCATATGGTCGTCACTCTTTTATTCTTGTCTGCCTTTCCTACTGGACACAGGTCTCTTCAAGGGCCGGTCTCTGTGACTTAGGTCTTTCTGAACATCCAGCTTCCAACACAATGGTGGTTGCAAAACACGTCGTGATGTATACATGTCTACAGAACTGAAACATGAGGCTCCTTCTGGGTTAGCCTCAGAAAATGGGAGGAGGGATGGTTTGGAACATGGATAGGCACCATACTAGGTTTGAACAGCCTCCATCCCAGTTTTCAATATTTTCTGTGATAAGAAATTCAGGCAAGAGTGAATGCCAAGTGAATCACCTTGTCCCTGCATCCAAACCCAATCATCAGTCCATGAACACAAGAAATGAAAGATACCTGCACCTTAGGAGGTATAAGCTTAGTGCAAACACTGTGTCATGTCTCAACAGCTGGCCCTGTCAGGATTCTGTGGGAAATCACTAAAGATATGAATTGAGATGTCTGATCTATTTTGAGTCATTGGAGAAAATCTTTAATAAAAATGACTATAATTCCCCTTACTACTTTATTATATATTTATGTATAGTTTGGGTAACTATTACATAATAAATGCATTTATTTTGTAGACAAACATTTTAAGTCTGTATATTTATTTACTCTATGAGAGAGAGAAAAAGAGAGAGAGAGCTAGAGAGAAAGACAGCCAGCCCTAACAGGTTGCCATGCCATGATCCACCCCAGCCTCAGCTAAAATTATAACCATGTAGATATTAGATGAATGCAAACACATACAGACAAGCCAGAGTGCAAAGTTTAATATCATTTTGAAAACGTTTTCTCTCTCTTTATTTTCTTTTTTTTTCCTGTTACAGATATACTGCCGTTGTTTTAATAGAGTGTGTTAATGCTTCTATACCATCTATTATTTATTCCACCATGTTAAATGATTTCTTCAAAATAAATAGCCAACAGCCCTGATGGTGGTGCAGTGTCAAAACATGAAAATCTGTGAGGCAATCCCACATGGCCACATTTCCAATTCGAGTCCAGAGACTTCCCTTAGTATACCAGCCAGGTGTGTATCCATGATTGGAGCTGGCTGAAAGTTGGGGGTGAGTCATGGTGGGACCTTCTTGGGGATGCCATCTGACTTTCTCATGGAAGAAATAAGTAAACTTACAGAAAGTTAAAAAGTAAATAACCACTATTTATAAGGCTTCTACTCCACAATTTTATTATGGTTAGGATTTGAAGTCTAAAAGAAACATTAGAAAAAATTTTAAATAATTCTTTGAAACAAGATATCCTAAGTCCAAGACATTGAAAAGAAAACTATTAAGATTCTGAATATATTAACAAATATTTATTAAGCAAATATTCTATGCTGCTCTCTGCATAATTTATAACATCATTCATCACTGTGAAATCTACTAGTTATCATTAACACATCTAATCTAATAGTAAAAAAACAGAGCCAGAAAAGTTAACACAAATATGTCTGAAAACAAAAATTTCAAATAAAAATATGCAAAGCACAGTACAACATTTAGCCGAGAGTTAGGCAGTACACTATTGATAATATGTTGTGAGTAGGCTTGCTTATGTTTAACTTCTGTCATCTATTAACCGACATTTTCAGAATAAAATGTAATTTTTGAGGCAAACAGAAAACATATCCAAATTTTAATACAGTAAGAATATTATCCTGAATACATGGAAAATCTAAAAACTCAGGGCTTCCAATATCCCATCCTCCCTGGGAGAGAAAATGTTTGGCACAAAGTGAGCAGATTAAGCAGCTGATCCACCACCTTCCAAAATTTTCTTAATCATTTTCTTAACTAAGGGAGCCTCTGGGTCCAGGCAAACTTTCTTCCCATTCTTCAGTGTGGCTCTGCAAGAGAGAACAGAATTACCTGTGGGTGGCCTGACCTGAATATTGGAAGAGAGCCATGGAGCTGGAGAAAATAGGGCAGGTGGAGAGGTAGGTGGAGGGCTTGCCTAACGAGGCCTTAGGACAGAAGCGGGGACTCACATCACTTCTGTTTGGGCGCAGTGGGCTCCTGCCTTGATCACCTCCACACTGCGGATGTTGCTGGGATGAATTCCAGACACTGCCTTCACACACATGCAGCGCAACTCAAGATAGAAATCATTTTCTGTATTATCACCTACGGTAGAAAATGTGACTCTTTAACATAATAAGAAAGTATAAAATAAACTTGAAAAGAAAAGGTAAGTAATAGTGAAAAAATGTAAAGGCCAAAATAAAAAATAAACACAAAAGGAAAGAGAAAGGAAAGGAAAAAGAAAGAGAAAGAAGAAGAAAGAAAGAAAAAGGAGAAGAAAGAAAGAAAGGAAAAAGAAAGAAAGAAAGAAAGAAAGAAAGAAAGAAAGAAAGAGAGAAAAGAAAAGAAAAGAAAAGAAAAGAAAAGAAAAGAAAAGAAAAGAAAAGAAAAGAAAAGAAAAGAAAAGAAAAGAAAAGAAAAGAAAAGAAAAAAGGAAAAGGAAATGCAACTGTATTAGTGGCCATGATTATTTTCCTCAGTTCCCTCATCATGCAGTGTGGGGTAGTTGAACGTCTCTCATAAGGCTATTGTGAGGGACCAGCAAACCCGGGTAAAGAGCCCAACAAAACACCCAGCACCTGCGAAATCCCCTGAGTGCACCTTCTCCAGTCAGCATTCATGACATAAAGATGTTCTCCAGCCCGGGGGCTCCAGGAGAGGCTTTCTCCCCACCACAGCTGCAGCAGAAGCAGCCAGGGCTTCAGGGAAGCACGGCCTCCACCTTCACCTGTCCCTAAGTTCCTCTTACTTTGTCCAGTGGTGGAGGGAACCAGTGTGGTCAGGAGCAGTGTCAGTGGCAGCAACAGCTGGAGGACACGACGTGGGCTGGCACTGGTCCAGGAGGAGGTGGCCATGGGGCTGAGGCTCATGGTGGGGAAGACCCAGCCAGAGTGGCTTCTAAAGGCAGGAGACCTGGAAGGATGTGAGTGGCTGCTAAGAAGTCTGCAGCTTTGTGGCTTCGGGTGACCTCCTGATGTCTTTTATACAAGACCTTTCCAGGCCAGTAAGGAAGAGACAGGAAAGGAGGAAGTGAGGCTACGTGTCGATATACCCACATAAGGGTGGATAACTCATGCCCAACCGGGTTAAACCCCAGAGAGGTAAAAATTCCTGCTAAATTGCATTTGTATGCATCATTTCACATTCCAACCCCTTTCCTCAATGCCTAATCTCACACCCAGAGAAGCTCTCTAGTTAGGGAACTGAGGACTAGGCTGAAGTGCTACATGTGTATCTTTTGTATGACGCCGTGCCTTGCCTTTTCCTATAATGCAGTGTATAGGTTTAACAGACACTTTATGAGCATCTAGAAATATAAAGATATAGCCCTCGAAGAGAATGTTATCTTCCCTTTCCAGTTGACAAAGAAAGCAGATGTTCTGTCCTGGCTGTTGATACATACTGGGATTGGTTTGGAGTTTGTGGTTAAAATGGGAGTCTGTTACTATTAAAGGCTCACTTTGGACTTTTTAGCTTATGAGTATCTTATTGCCCAGATAAATATTAGCTTACTGTCTCCCTTCTGTCTTCAACTGTACTATTTTTTGTAATTCCAAGAAACAGAAGCAACACTCATCCTCTTTTGAATTACAAAATAACTTACTTATTTCTATCATCTGAGTTTACCATAAGAAGCAAGACCCAGTATGTCAATGTTCCCTTTTCTTTATTTTTTTAAGAGACTTGCTATAGAGCTTGTGTACTCACCAGAGAGACAGGGAGAGACCGAGAGACAGAAAGCAAGAAATTACCCCTGGGGGAGGGGGAGAAGGGATGGCCACACTGCAACCCCTTCTTCTCCGTTCTCCTCTCAGGATTTTTGCACACACACATACACACGCCCGGTGTGAGTTTTAACCTGACTGATCTGGGGCTCAAAGTGCAGTCAACTTACGTGGGAGTACAACAACAAAACCATTATGCTATCTCTGGTCCTTCCTTTTATTTTTAATCTAACGGACATAGGTGACCTAATTTATTGAGAAAGGTTCCTACACTGCAGATGTATGTGGTAAACATGCCCATTCTTCTTCATCATTGTTCCACATTCCCACTCTATAGTGGTAACCACCAGTTGACATTCTTGATCTATTTATCTGCATGTATACACACACAGTGCATACATATTCAGAGAGACACATGTATAATACACAGAGATATACATGTATACATAGAGATATGCATAGGTTTCTCCCCCCCTGCCCCACCCTTTGGATTATCAGAGGGCATGTCCACTCATCATAGAACGACAGAACGTACCTCCCATGGAGTATGGTCACATCACAATCATTTTCCTCTATTTCTCCTTACCCTCACGATTTTGGGAATATGTGTTGAAGTGCCCTGCATGTTTTTCAAGCTGTTGGGGCCAGGACTTGAACCACAGTCAACCATGTGGGAGAGAGCTTCCCATCTACAGGGACTAACCACAGTGCCATGGGGCCAGCCCAAGGTTTTTCAAATACAAATGAGATTATTCTATATGGATTACTCCATAGGAATTATTATACAGGTTTTGTTTCCCCTTTAAAATGATGTGTTCAGCATCCTTTCATGCTGCCTTAATATACTTTTGCCCTATTTTTTCAAAGGACTTTATGATGTGGCCAATCATAAAGTTGTAAGACTTGCTTCTTGAACAGAACTGTTCGCTTTTTAAAGCAGAGGCATATCCTAGGTTTCTCAAACATCTCATGTATCCTAGAGCACGCAGGATAATGCAATTAGCAGTGAGCCCCAACAGGGTTAGTGAACAAATCAGTAACTATATATCACTTGAGGGAAAGCTTCTCTTTCCTTTTTTTTTTTTTTTTTCTTCTCTCTCCTTTCTAATCAGGTACAATTCCCAGACCAAATTTCATAAGACCCAAAACATCTGTGGCAGAAAGAGGTGACGTGAAGGACTGGGAAAAGGATGAAGAGACACAAGCAGCAGACCTGGCCACAGTTGATCCTTATTACAGTTAGATACAAGCCTTACATGACATTATTTAAACTTCCCATGGTATTTTATATTTCCTTACCTTGAAAATTCTTAAAGAAAGCTTAAAACTTCAAATTTACAAAATTACCTTTTAATCAAAAGAATAAAGTAATAATTTTTTCTATACTTTAAAAAAAATTTCAAGCCATTTCCTCTGTTTAACAATTACTGACTATGCCTAAGTATAAGCGTTAAGTCCTGTTTTGTTTTGTTTTGTTTTGTTTTCACATTCATTTATTATTTGTCGTGATTTTTGAGCTGCCAGGTCCGGGACTTGAACTGTGTTTGGCCATATGGGAGTCCAGCCCCTCAATCACCACAACACCTGCCAGCCCCTAGGTCCTTTTTTTTTTAACCTACTTCTTCTTGTTCTGCACCTATTTATTTCCTTCCATAAATTCTTATTTAACAGTAGAACATATTAAGCTAAGATGATTTTTCACCTGTCCCACTGCAGAAATTCACAGTCTGAGAAGCAAGGTTAAAGGAAGAGCTTAGGCTGTTGAAGTAGTATGTTTTAAGTGCTGAGCTGTGGAGTCAATTGCAGAGAGAAACTCAGCAGAATCAGGAGAATGGACTGTATCCTAGATTTTTTCTGAAAATTTTATAGCCCTTCCTTATTATTGCAATTGAAATATTGTCAATTCTCAAGTCAGATATATTGCTTCTCAAACCTAAGTTCAAAACCATTTTCAAAGCAAAACTCCTGTTTGTTTTAGAGAGATTTTTGCTATAGAGCATGCGCACTTGCCAGAGACACAGAAAGAAAGTAAGAAGTCACTCCCCCCGGGGGTCGGCCATGCCACAATCCCTTCTCCGTTCTCCTCACGAGACTTTGAGCACTCACACACATGCACTACTGTGAGTTTCAAGCCACTAGATACAGGACTCGAACTGTGGTGAGCCATGTGGCAATCTAGAGCCATAACCACTACACCACCTGCCGACCCCTAAAAGTTTTTAATGCTACTCATAGTACCTTTGCTTTTCTGTGCATCAAGGCCCTCAAAATATGTTGTTGACAACATTATGGGCTTCTCTAAAGGCTTTTTTTTTTGTTGTCTTTATACTTAACTATTCTGATTTCTTTCCCGGTCTACTTATTACAATTACTCAAAAGTTTCTAATCCTTTGGGAAAACTGGAAAGCCTTCTCAAACACCGATGCGCTTTGACTTGCTTGGCATCAGAAAAGGGTGAGGCACACCCCAGCATGTCAAGTCATTGTCTTAATCAACAAATGTGTCTTTGTTCAAGACATAACATCGTCACCAAGATTTGTGAGGAAGCATTAACAAATTTTTTGAGTCATTAAAATTTCACAAGCTCATTAGTCAACCTTTGAGGTAAAACCATTTTTTGCTAATTTTTATTTAGTCAGGAAACATGCATCAGGCATCGTCCATGTGCCAGGCATTGCAAAATTCTTTTTTTATTTTTGCATGAGTTTGTCATTTCACCATTTCTTTTTAGAGTAAGACCTAAACTATGTGAAATATGAAAAATAAATAAAAAACCTATTTATTCCAAAATAGAGCTCAGATGCTATTAAGGAAGCTGTACTTTGACATGCAGAACGTCAATGATCATGAAATGCACACTCCGAGCACATTCCGTCCCTCTTTGAGAAACCATGTAAACTGGTCCAAGATGCTGCTAATATTCATCAGACTTTTTAGATTACGCACATCCTCAGTGCCCAAGTAAATCCTCTTTTGATTCCTACTTTTTTTTTTTTTTGAGAGGTTTTCGCTGTAGGGTGTGTGCTCGCCAGAAAGACAGACATAAAGCGAGAAATCACCCCCCAGGGGGATGGCCACACCGTAATCCCTTCTCTTCTGTTCTCCTCTCGGGATCTTGGGCATGCACATACCCACGCCCAGTGTGAGTTTAAGCCACTGGGTCCGGGACTCGAACTGTGGTCAACTACATGGGAATCCAGCGACATAGCCATTATGCTAACTGCTGGTCCCCTACTTTTTAAAATATAAAAGTCTTATTTAATTTTATTAATTATTATTATGTTTTAATTTGACCAGAGGGAAACAGAGAGAGGATGAGAGAGGGAAAATGAGAAAGCAAGCCGCCAGGTCTGGGACTTGAACTGTACTCAGCCATGTGGGAGTCCAGCACCAGCCAGCTCCAATCCTCTTTACTTTTAATTAGACCTTCTAATGTGCCAGACCCTTGTCTCCAGTTCTACCTCAAATGACTATCAAGTTATCCTTCTCCCCTTATTGTAGAATTTGGGCAATGACTGCTGTACAAGACTTCTTGCTATAGCATTGACCAGTGTAAAGCTTTGACTGATGATTAACCTTCATCTCTATTCACAACTTCCGTCTTTACAATCACTGAGCTCTGTAAGACCATGGGACACGTTATCCAGGGTGACTTGTATTGTGTGTAGACCAGGCAATCAAAGTAACGTCCACCCAGGTAAATTCCTTTTGCTTTACTCACTTTGCTTCTGTCTTCCTTTTTAGGTTGACAAGTGATTACTCAAAGCAATAGGATGGAAATAATACTCTACCATTACCGCTCCTGCTGTAACCACCGCTGTTAACTGCTATTGCCGTCATCTGCGTCATTTTCTTCTTTCCCATGCTGAGAAAATACAGATAGTGATAAACTGACCATACGAAAATGGCAAAAGATATGTCTAAATCAGTTATTTAAATAAAAGCAATTAGCTTATATAAGTTTATGATTTAAATAAATGCTAAAAGTATAAACAAGTTTTAGTGGTTTGGGGGTTTTAAAACATTTTAACTGTCTTTTATGACTCCTACATTGCCACCCTGGGTTTTGTGTGTTTATCTGTGTGTGTGTGTGTGTGTGTGTGTGTGTGTGTGTGTTAAGTTCTTTCTGTTTTTTTGTTTTGTTTTTCCCTTTAAATTGTCTTAGTAATAGCAGAGTCATTCAGGAAACAAGCAAGTTTTCTAAGATCCCCAAACAGAACTTATCTGTTAGCTATGTTAT